AGCTGCCGCTCAGGAGGCTGTAGAAGCGGTGCTGGTTGAGTTGGCAGAAGTGGAGGAAGTCGAGAGTCATGAGCGTGAGGACGAGGAGACCGTAGAGCCCCACGGCCAGAAGAGGCAGAGGGTTCCTGCGGAAGCACACACAGCGTCAGAGCGACCAGGCTGGACCCAGCCGCCATGAATTTATCCAGGTCTCTTTGTTTGTTCTAAACTTGCTATCTATTCATTTCATGTGGTGCTCCCCAGTTCTGGTGTTCTGGGCACAGTAAACAAAGTAAACAACTTTTCCTTATTCACTTTCTCCACCCCACTCATGATTGTATAGATCTCGATCCTACCCCCCTCAGTCTCCTCTCTTCTAAGCTGAAAAGTCCCCGTTTTATTCGTCTCTTCTCACATGGCAGCCGTTCCAAACCCCTCATCTTTTCGGTTGCCCTTTTCTGAATCTTTTCCAATGCCAATTTATCTTTTTTGAGCTGAGGCGCCCACATCTGTACACAGGATTCAAGCTGTGGGCGTCCCATGGATTTATACAGCGGCAATAAGAGATTCTCTGTCTTATTCTCTGTCCCTTTTTGATGACTCCTAACGTTCTATTTGCTTTTTGACGGCCGCTGCGCACGGAGTGGATGTTTGCAGAGAACGATCCACAGTGACTCCAAGATCTCTCTCTTGAGCAGGCATAGCTAAATTAGTCCCCATCATTTTGAAAGTGCAGCTGGGATTATGTTTTCCACTGTGCATTACTTCGCATTTATCAACATTAAAATTAATCTGCCACTTTGTTGCCCAGTCACCCAGTTTTATGAGATGTTTTTGAAACTCTTTACAGTCTACTTTGGATATTATCATCTGCAAACTTTCCCACCTCAGGTTTACCTCTTTCTCCAGATCATTTATGAACAAGTTGAATAGGACTGGTTCCAGTATGGACTCTTGGGTGACACCACTAGTTACCGCTCTCCGTTCTGAAAACTGACCATTTATTCCTACTCTTTGTCTCCTGTCTTTAACCAGTTACCAATCCATGAAAGGACCTTCCCTCTTATCCCATGACAACTTACTTTGCTTAAGAGCCTTTGGTGAGGGACAAAGGCCTTCTGAAAATCTAAGTGCACTGTATCCACCGGATCCCCCTGGTCCACATGCTGGGTGACCCCCTCAAAGAACTCTAGTAGAATAGTAAGGCATCATTTCTCTTTACAGAAACCATGTTGGCTTTTCCCCAACAAATTATGTTCATCTGTGTGTTTGACTATACTTTGCTACAGTTTCAACTACATTTGCCCGGTACCGACGTTAGACTTACCGGTCTGTAATTGCCAGGGTCACCTCTAGAGCCCTTTTTAAATATTGGCATCAGATTAGCTATCGTCCAGTCATTGGTACAGAAGCTGATTGAAAGGATAGGTTACAAACCACAGTTAATAGTTCTGCAATTTCACATTGAGTTCTTTCAGAATTCTTGGGTGAATGCATCCTGGTGACTTGTTACTGTTAATTCATCAATTTGTTCCAAACCTCCTCTAGTGACACCTCAATCTGGGACAATTCCTCAGATTTGTCACCCAAAAAGAATGGCTCAGGTTTGGGAATCTCCCTCACATCCTCAGCCATGAAGATCCAAGTAAAGAATTCATTTAGTTTCTCCGCAATGACCATATCATCTTTGAGGGCTCCTTTAGCATCTCAATCATCCAGGGGCCCCCTGGTTGTTTAGCCGGTTTCCTGCTTCTGGTGTACTTAAAAAATGGCTATTTGGCTAGCTGTTCTTCGTCCACTTTTTAAACGATGCCTTTTTATCTCCCACTGCTTCTGTTATTTGGCTGTTGAGCCACAGTGGCAATTTTTTGGTTCTCTTCTTGTGTTTTTTACTTTGAGGTATACATTTAAGTTGGGCCTCTATTCTGGTGTCATTGAAAAGTGTCCATGCAGCTTGCAGGGTTTTTACTTTTGTCTTTGTACCTTTTAATTTCTGTTTAACTAACCTCCTCATTCGTGTGTAGCTCCCTTTTCTCCAATTCAATGCCACAGTGTTGGGTTGCTGAGGTGTTTTCCCACCGGAGGGATGTTACATGTAATTATATTAGGGTCACAATTTCCAAGCAGTCCAGCTATACTCACCTCTTGGACCAGATCCCGCGCTCCACTGAGGAGTAAATCAAGAATTGCCTCTCCTCTTCCAGAACCAGCTGCTCCAAGAAGCAGCCATTTAAGGTCATTGAAGGTTTCAAGAAACTTCTAGAGTTTGTATTTAAGCACTTAACAAACTTGTGACTATTTATCTGTCTGCCATTTCCTGATGTGATTGAGACACTTTTTCATTTGACTGTTTCTCATCTGATCTTACTCATCTCTTAGGGTCTGTCTACACTAGCCCCTCAGTTGCAAATGAAGCCCGGGACTTGAATTTCCCGGGCTTCATTTGCATGAAGCCGGCCGGCACCCTTTTTAAATGCCGGCTAGTTCGAACCCCGGGCCACACCGGCATTTAAAAATGGCGCCGGCCAGCTTCATGCAAATGAAGCCCGGGAAATTCAAATCCCGGGCTTCATTTGCAATTGTGGATGACTACATTACCCCCCTAATTCGAACTAGGGGCTAGTGTAGACATACCCTTATTATCTTACCATCCTCTCCTCTTTACTGGGACATGGAGAATCTCTATTAATAGACCCTCCCTTAAGAGAGAGACCAGAAATTGAAAGGTCCGATCCATGTGTTCCTCTGCACCCGTCGGCTTTCCTCCAGCTGCTCTACGACCCTTTTACTGTTAAGTGCCAGCAGTCTGGCTCCACTTTGGTTTAGGTGGAGCCCATCCTTCCTGTATAGACTCCCCCCATCCCAAAAGTTTCCCTAGTTCCTAATAAATCTATAGTCCTCCCCTCTACAGCATTGTCTCATCCTCGCATTGAGACTCTGAAGCTCTGCCTGCCTACCTGGCCCTGCACGTGGAACTGGAAGCATTTCCGAGAACGCCACCATAGAGATCCTGGATTTCAATCCCTTTCCTAGCAGCCTAAATTTGGCCTCCAGAACCTCTCTCCTACCCTTCCCTATGTCATTGGTACCTACATGCACCACGAGCACCGGCTCCTGCCCAGCACTACACACAAGTCTATCCGGAGGTCTCGAGAGATCCGCAACCTTCGCAGCAGGCAGGCCAGTCACCACACGGTTCTCCCGGTCATCGCACACCCAGCTCTTTGCTTCTAGTGATCGAATCCCCCATTACAAACACCTGCCTTTCCCTCACGACTGGAGTTCCCTCCCCCAGAGAGGTCTCAGTGCGAGGGGATACAGAACATCTGCTGGAAGGAGGGTCCCAACTACGGAATCATTTCCCTCTGCTCCAGATGAACGTTCCCCGAGCCTTTCGCCCTCCCTAACAGCGCAGGGGCTGTGTGTGTGGGGTGGGACCACTGCACTGCGAATAGGAGCGGTGCAGAGGGGAGTCTGGCGAGGGAGTTTCGAGGGGGAGGTGGAAGGGAGCTAGACGTGATTAACATTCTTTAAACTCCACTAACCCCCACACCACCTGATTCACCACAAGCTCTCAAGGAAGGCGAACGCAGAGGATGCAGGCACAAGCCCAGCAGCAGCCCGGGGACTGTCCAGTTTACTGCACCCAATGCAGGACATTTGTGTATCAGCTCTGTGGGTGGGAGGCGGGTGTGCATGGGCCAGGGCTCCTGGCCCTCAGACCGTGGGTGGGCACTGGAGGCCAGGCTGGCTGAAGCGGAGGAGCCGAAGGGCGGCAGAGAGGTAGGCAGATGAGGCTTTGCGGGCACAGTAGGTACACAGGATCGCAGAACACTAGCTTCAGAGGGGGAGCCAAGTTAGAGCCAGTGCTCTATGACAAACGTACAAAGCAGCGAATAGTCTCGTTGGTTTAGCAGCACCTTAGAGACCAACAACACGGGGATGGCTCATGAGCTTTTGTGGGCCCACCACCACCACGGTCTGTTAGTCGGTACGGTGCTACTCGACTAGTTGTTGGTTTGTACGTTTTTCATAGAGCACTAAAGCTAGCAGGGACCTTGAGAGGCATCGAGTCCAGACCCAGCCCTTGCGGCAGGACCCAGCACCATCTAGCCCAGCCCTGACACGTTTATCCAACCTGCTCTGGAGTATCTCCAGGAATGGGGATTCCACAACCTCCCCGGGCAACTCATTCCAGTGTTTGACCACCCTGGCAGGCAGGAACTTTTTCCTAATGGCCAACCTCAACCTCCCTGGCTCCAATTTAAGCCCATTGCTTCTCGTCCTGTCCTCAGAGGCCAAGGAGAACAATTTCCCCCCCTCCTCCCTGTGACACCCTTTTAGATACTTGAAAATCTCTATCATGTCCCCTCTCGGTCTTCTCCTTTCCAAACTAAACAAGCCCAGTTCCTTCAGTCTTCCCTCCTAGCTCATGTTCTCTGGGCCTTTCATCATTCTTGTTGCTCTTCTCTGGACCTTCTCCAATTTCTCCACATCTTTCCTGAAATGTGGTGCCCAGAACTGGACAAAAGACTCCAGCTGAGGCCTAATCAGCGCAGAGCCGAGCGGGAGAACGACTCCTCGTGTCTTGCTCACAACACTCCTGTTAATGCAGCCCAGAATCAGATTTGCTTTGTTTGCAACAGTGTCATGCTGTGGACTCATATTTAGCTTATGGTCCACTATAACCCCTAGATCCCTGTCTGCCGTGCTCCTTCCTAGACTGTCGCTTCCCATTCTGTGTGTGTGAGACTGATTGTTCCTTCCTAAGTGGAGCACTTTGCATTTGTCCTGATTAAACTTCATTCTGTTTACCTCAGACCATTTCTCCAGTTTGTCCAGATCAGTTTGAATTCTGACCCGTCCTCCAGAGCAGTCGCAACCCCTCCCAGCTTGGGATCATCTGCAAACTTAATAAGCGTCCTCTCTATGCCAATCTCTAAATCGTTGATGAAGATATTGAACAGAGCCGGTCCCAAAACAGACCCCTGTGGAACCCCACTTGTTCTACCTTTCTAGCAGGATTGTGAATCATTAATAACTACTCTCTGAATACGGTTATCAAGCCAGTTATGCACCCGCCGTAGAATAACCCTATCTAAGTTATATTTACCTAGTTTATTGAGAAGAGGGTCACCAGTGTTATACGGAGCAGCAGTGTTACACAGAGCAGCAGTGTTACACAAAGCAGCAGTGTTACACGGGGCACCAGTGTTATAGGGAGCAGCAGTGTTACACAGGGCACCAGTGTTACACGGAGCAGCACTGTTACACGGGGCACCAGTGTTACACGGAGCAGCAGTGTTACACAGGGCACCAGTGTTATACGGCGCAGCAGTGTTACACAGGGCACCAGTGTTACACGGAGCAGCAGTGTTACACGGGGCCCCAGTGTTACACGGAGCAGCAGTGTTACACGGGGCCCCAGTGTTACACGGGGCCCCAGTGTTACACAGAGCCGCAGTGTTACACGGGGCACCAGTGTTACACGGAGCAGCAGTGTTACACAGGGCACCAGTGTTATACGGAGCAGCAGTGTTACACAGGGCACCAGTGTTACACGGAGCAGCAGTGTTACACAGGGCACCAGTGTTACACGGAGCAGCTGTGCTGGGCTGTATCCTGAAGAGGCAATAAACTCCCTGTTCTACTGGCTGGGGGAGTCTGTTTGTGCCATTTCGGGGGTGCAGGAGGCGGGGGACCCCAACGCATCGTCACACCAACCTCAACCTCCCTGGCTGCAGTTTAAGCCCCTTGCTTCTCGTCCTGTCCTCAGAGGCCAAGGAGAACAATTTCCCCCCCTCCTCCCTGTGACACCCTTTTAGATACTTGAAAATCTCTATCATGTCCCCTCTCGGTCTTCTCCTTTCCAAACTAAACAAGCCCAGTTCCTTCAGTCTTCCCTCCTAGCTCATGTTCTCTGGGCCTTTCATCATTCTTGTTGCTCTTCTCTGGACCTTCTCCAATTTCTCCACATCTTTCCTGAAATGTGGTGCCCAGAACTAGACACAAGACTCCAGCTGAGGCCTAATCAGCGCAGAGCCGAGCGGGAGAACGACTCCTCGTGTCTTGCTCACAACACTCCTGTTAATGCAGCCCAGAATCAGATTTGCTTTGTTTGCAACAGTGTCATGCTGTGGACTCATATTTAGCTTATGGTCCACTATAACCCCTAGATCCCTGTCTGCCGTGCTCCTTCCTAGACTGTCGCTTCCCATTCTGTGTGTGTGAGACTGATTGTTCCTTCCTAAGTGGAGCACTTTGCATTTGTCCTGATTAAACTTCATCCTGTTCACCTCAGACCATTTCTCCAGTTTGTCCAGATCAGTTTGAATTCTGACCCGTCCTCCAGAGCAGTCGCAACCCCTCCCAGCTTGGTATCATCTGCAAACTTAATAAGCGTCCTCTCTATGCCAATCTCTAAATCGTTGATGAAGATATTGAACAGAGCCGGTCCCAAAACAGACCCCTGTGGAACCCCACTTGTTCTACCTTTCTAGCAGGATTGTGAACCATTAATAACTACTCTCTGAATACGGTTATCAAGCCAGTTATGCACCCGCCGTAGAATAACCCTATCTAAGTTATATTTACCTAGTTTATTGAGAAGAGGGTCACCAGTGTTATACGGAGCAGCAGTGTTACACAGAGCAGCAGTGTTACACAAAGCAGCAGTGTTACACGGGGCACCAGTGTTACACGGAGCAGCAGTGTTACACAGGGCACCAGTGTTATACGGAGCAGCAGTGTTACACAGGGCACCAGTGTTACACGGAGCAGCAGTGTTACACAGGGCACCAGTGTTATACGGAGCAGCAGTGTTACACGGGGCACCAGTGTTACACAGGGCACCAGTGTTATACGGCACAGCAGTGTTACACAGGGCACCAGTGTTACACGGAGCAGCAGTGTTACACGGGGCCCCAGTGTTACACGGAGCAGCAGTGTTACACGGAGCAGCAGT